GAACAGAGTACAATTTTAATGTTTTCTGTAGATAAAGGAACAGAAGGAGTAAGACAATCCCTAGCACAGACAAAGCCCATATAGGTGAGTTGGTTCTCCTCGTCCCCCTGGAGCATCTAAGCAGACCCTTCTGACATCCAGCACTAATCCTACAGCTAAGAAGTGCAGACTACAAGCAGGAATTGATTTAATTAAACCCCACTGCAACATATTTATTTTCACAGGCAGAATTGGTGGCTTCCTCCCCACAGTTCTGTGACTCCAGCCTGTACCTCTGGAACCTCACAGGAGATGGGCTTCTGCACAAAGTTGAAGGGGTGAAGCTAAAAACCCGACCAGCACAGTGCACGGATTTTGTCAGCATTAAAAAGCAACTTGACCTCCTGGAAAAAATGAAAGTCACCCATTACAGATTCGCACTTGACTGGTCACTAATTTTACCCAACGGAGATTTGTCCGTGGTGAACAGGCAAGTTCTTAGGTATTACAGATGTGTGATTAGCGAAGTGCTGAAACTCAACGTTCAGTCCATGGTCACCTTGTATTACCCAACTCACACCTACCTGGGCCTGCCAGGTCCTCTGCTGCAGACAGGAGGATGGCTGAACCAATCCACTGCCCACGCCTTCCAAGACTATGCAGCTTTATGTTTTAGGGAACTTGGCGATTTGGTTAAATTTTGGATTACAATAAATGAGCCCAATCAGCTGAGTAATGTGTACAACAGGAGTAGCAACGATACCTATCGGGCAGCACACAACTTATTAATAGCACATGCCATGGCCTGGAGAATATACGATGAGCAGTATCGATCCTTTCAGTATGGCAAAGTGTCCCTGTCCCTGCACTCTGACTGGGCTGAGCCTGCCAACCCCTACTTTGAATCTCATTCAAAAGCTGCCAACAGGTTTCTTCAGTTTGAAATTGGCTGGTTTGCCAACCCCATATTTAAGACTGGGGACTATCCAGCTACCATGAGGGAATACATTGGCTTTAAGAACAGGAAAGGCCTCTCATACAGTTTGTTGCCATCCTTCACGAGCGAGGAGAAGCAGCTCGTCAAAGGTGCCGCTGACTTTTACGCCCTCAATCATTTCACCACCAGATTTGTGATCCACGAGCCTCAGAATGGGAGCCAGTATGAATTTGATCGTGACATTCAGTTTCTGCAGGATATCACCTGCCTGAGCTCCCCTTCTCGTCTGGCAGTGGTGCCCTGGGGAGTGCGCAAAGTCCTCAGGTGGATTAAAAAAACCTACGGCGACATCGATATTTACATCACAGCAAACGGAATAGATGACCAGTCCTTAGACAACGATGAACTTCGAAATTACTACTTGGGAAAATACATTCAAGAGGTTTTAAAAGGTGAGTATAAGAGCCATTCCTGTGGCTCAGGCATTCCTTAAGGAAGCACCTGAGACTTGCCCTAGACGGGGCAAACTGTTCTGGTGCAGATGCAGAACTGGCCATCAGCATTCAGCCCCCCCCAGTTCTGCAGTCACACTCAGGTACCACACAAAGCCATGGATCAAGCCCCTCACATGAAATGCAGCTATATCTGCTTCCAGTTTAAACCATGTGAGAAGCCATCTGGGCACACATACACAGCAGAGTATTCAGAAGTTACTGGGAGATGGTACTTCAGACCAACAACTCCCAAGAGACAACTTAAATTTCTATTTTCCAATGAAAGGCAGGAGCTTCTCACTTGGTTGATGAACTAGACTCTAGAAAAGCAAGTCCACAGAGACCTGGAGGGACATACAGAAGAAAACCAGCAGGTCACCAGCAGCACCTGCTGCTCTTGAAGGAAGACTCAAACTCTACTTTGTCTTCCACTACTTGCTTTCTCCTGGGCACCTGAGGAAACCTAGTTCTTCACTTTAGAGAAAAATTAATAACACTTATGGAGGTAGAAGACAGAAACACTCAAGGCAATCAGCAATAGCTTATTGTATGAGAAATACTGCAGGGACCTCACCCCTCCCATCCCTCTTCCTCCAACCAAATGTTAAAGAAAAGCAGTGAGACACAGGCTACCAGAAAGGCCTTGGTACCCAAATCATACAGTCAAAATGACATGTACAATACATCCCTGCCCTCACTGTTTCCTATTGGCAAGCATTAGGGAGATCCCTGAGCAGAACATGGGAAGTTTAAAAGCTTTTCTGAGGTACCTGTCACCAAGCACAGCCCAGGCATCCTGGTTTCTCCTCTCTAGGAGGAGAATGTGAAAAATAAGACAGGTCTTACTCATGGCTAAGCATGGCTTTGGACTACTTCAGACAACAAGAAACAGAGCATTCCCTCTCCAGTGCTTATCTCTTTGTCAATCACTAAAGGACTAATTTATTTTCCATGCTAATTTCATACTGCAAACAAAAGAACAATACATTATTCAAGGAAATAAGTTAGTAAAGGGTTATTTAAAGGGCACCTCGTTGTGGTATCCTCATTTTAATTGATCACATGACACTTTACTCACAAAAAGATCCCCCAAATTACATGTTCTTGCTTAATCTGGGTCACATCCCCAACCATGCTCACTGCTTGCACATGAAGTGATCTTTATTCAGCAAGGTCTGCTGCTTATGACTGAGGTATTTTCACCCAACATGTGGGTGCAGCAGTGTGACATACAGCCACATACACTGTGTGGCTGAGCAGCTGAGCTGAGAGCACAGCAGGAGTTTTTGGAATGCTCCTCCAATGGCACAGGATGGGCACCTGGGTTCAGGAAAGAGCAGCTTCTGGCATTTCCCAGAAAGCTCCAGCTATGTCCAAATCCAGCTTTCACAGGGTAGGTGCAGAAAATTCCAAAATTATAAGGATTTGTTAAAGCAATGAGTTTCTACTTAACTGAGACAGCTGAGTATTATTAGAAGCAGTAAGGAAATATTTTATGATGCCATTACACTATTTTCATTGATAATAATTTGAAACCTGAACTAATTATGAGGAAGTTTGCAGATTTTACTTAACACAATGTTTTATTAACATTTCCTTTCGTGGTTTTTTTTCCCTTCTCAGCATACTACATTGACAAAGTCAAGATTAAAGGCTACTATGCATTTAAACTGACTGAAGAAAAATCTAAGCCCAGATTCGGATTCTTCACTTCAGATTTGAAAGGAAAGCCTTCCATCAAATTT